TCGAACGAATAAGAGATAATTCGAGTTTCATAATGCTTCGCGAAGTGCTCCTCGAATCTGCTTTTCCTACTAATCTAAACGATCGGCTGTGTGGGGCTTCACATTTGCAGAGGTGAGAGTTTCGAGCTGGAAATTCCACAGGTTATTTTCGTTATTCGAATTTTTTTTTCCGCGCTGACGTTTCGGTCGGCTTTCCATTTTTAAAGTTTCGACTGTCAATTTTGAGCAGCGATTTGAATCACCGGCCGGATTTAGGCTGATCGGTCTTTTCCCTGAAATATGAAACCTTCTTTTTTCCTTGGTACAAATTTAAAGTAGGCAAACAGTGCACATTTTATTGGAACGAAAACATTTCCTGACTACTCATCAGATGCTACCTTTTGCTGGGTAACATTAATAACGAATGAGAGCATACAACAGTTTGGATTCTTGCAGAACTTACTCTATGCAACTACCAAGAGGAGGAAAACTTTTAAGTAAAAAAGATGGGGAGAAATGTGTAGATGTAAAAGCTGAATGTTACCGAGGTAAAATTAGGCTAACCGCAGGCTACAAGTGTTTACATCGGTCGGGTTTCAATCAGCAGCTTCTAGGTTTCACATGTCTCCTGTTACTTTTTTGACTTCAAAGTTTTTCTCCGCCTTTGCTTCCCATAACTTGTTTTAAATGTCTAACTCTATTGATTAGCCTACTTGGCAGTATACCATGAGTTTGATGGGTTTGCATTATATTTTTCTGTAAGAATTTAAATTGTTGTACTATCACATTCCTCATTATTGTTATGCAACGACAGGTAGACACTGATGAGCACTCGATGAAAATGTTGAGTCCAAAAATTCCGCAATAGCTGCATGCGTTAAATCCGATCTTTTTCTCTCGGTCGCTGCCTCGGCTGTCGTCAGGATGTTTGCGCTGTTTGGCAGCCGCCGCTGGTGTTGGGCTTCGTCACCGCGGTGGACGGTGCAGGTAATCCTGCATCCTCTCTCAGTGATTTTGTCACGGGACTGTCCTTGCTCGTAGTTTTCGTCCTATTTCCCGATATATTTGCAATCCTAATCATTGAAACATAATGCAAATACAACCACTGAGGATTTTGCATGGGTAAATTTGCCCCTATATGACATCAAATCTCGGCAAATTATCACCTGGGTCGATAGGCTATGTCTACTCCCCTTGTTGTAACAGTTGAGAGCATGCTTAAAATACTCTTTTTAGTTCCGAAATGACTCTACTTTCGACATTTAAGTTTTGACTATCGTAGGCCAAGGCACCTATAAAGAGGAAGGACTGACTCTTGAAACATGATATTCAGATGCCAACTATGTCAACATGCATCTAAATCTTTCTGCTGTCTGAAAAGTCCTGCGGCGTTAAGTGCATAATGACCAAGACGAGGCTCTTTTCCAGGCATCCCGATCAAGCTGGTCTTTTTCCAAAACAAAAGCATGATCATATTTGCAAAGGTGAGAGTCCCGGGCGGGAAATCCGAGCACACATTGTTGCTAACCGAAACAGATTTTATTTCGTGCTGACCGTTCGGAGAACTGGACCGCCAATCCACTGTCAACGTGTCAAATGTCCTTATTTTTCAGCGATTTACATGACTTGCTGAACCTGCCGGCCTCAGGCTGATCGATTTCCTTTCTCGTTTGCTGCCTCGGTCCTCGTGTGGATATTTGTTTAGACGGACGCTCGGTGGTGTTGTGCTTCGTCAGCGCAAGTTTGTCGCAGGGCCGCATTCCTAGGGTCGCATTTCCTAGGTTCTGTGTGGCCTTCTCCTGGTCTTTATTCCCGCAATGGCGTAGGACTTTGTAGGCCGCGGGAAGGTCTAGATGCGAGATGATAGAGTTGGCATCCGACGAAGAGCGACGTCAGCGGCTATCAAGCTAAGAAAACATCTAAACCAGTGCAGAGGCAGCAAACAAGATGAAAGAATTGATCAGCCCCAGCATAACACGTTCAGCCAGACATTTAAGTCGTTGAGCGGTAGTGACAGCCGACGCCTTGAAAATGGAGAGACGGCTAAGCTCTCTGGAAAGTCAGCACGAAAGAAAAAATGTTCCCAATGAGCAGCATTAATTTCACACACCGATGTTTGCAATTTTTACAATGAAGATACAAGTTTTCGCTCTCTTAATCGGCTGAAAGGTGCTCCTCAAATCTGTAATTTTTCCTAAAAATCACCTATCATAAGTACGTCGACTGAGGGAATAGAATATAAATTACAAATGGCCTAGCGCTACATTCAAAACTTTATAAGCTGCAGAGAGTTTGGCCGGTACCAGAGCAGCTACACAAATTTGCATAATTTTCGAAAATATCACGGAACATTCAATATTAGTCGGCGCTTCTGAAATTCTAAACGTAAGATCACTCTTACGACAGGCAATTTCAACATATAGCAATCGTTCGGCCAACAAGATACCTGTAAAAAGGGCACAAGAAACGGCCTTCATGCTTGTCTCCGTTTTGTGAACGCCAGCGCATACACCGCAACTGGCTGCCTGGTACCGACTTATCCACAACTCGCTTCAACTTCTCCCTAAGTCATCCCTACCGACCGGTGCTCCAAGCAAAAAGCAATCTTTGTGATTTAATTTTGACAATTCTCTCATCCTCACTTGCGGTAATCTCAGTTGCACGTGAAAAAGACCTAAAAGATAGGCGATAAATCAAAAAACCGGAAGTGTTGAGTGGACAACGGTCTAATGCACACCCACTTCTTCCATAAATTCTGCACATCGAGAGAAATGCCCGGACGTTAAATGGATAATTTGGTTCTCAACTTTCAATCGGGTTGATATTCTTTTTAAAAGAATGATATACTTTCGGTGGACTATGAGTTCTATGAAACCGAAAGTCTGATAACTGAATACTCCAACGTGGGCAAGCAAGCGGTTATCGCATTAAAACGGGCCATTCGCTAGGAAGGCGGGGAAGTGAATTAAAATCAGTGTCGAGAAGAAGCAGATGTCATCAATGAGACAATAATCTTATTCGGTTGACGTTTCGAAGTCCCTCGCGGACCCATCATCAGATACAATAGCAGAAACGGGTAATTCATGCACAGGCAGTTGCAGTATTTATGGGATATAGTCGTTACGCTACTCCATATCTATGACAATTACCATCACTCTCACTTTATCGAAGATAGGTGCTTGATTATTCGCGAATTGCTCAATGACGGCTTGCGGGTAATGACTTGCTGAACTTTCATCCCTCGTACTGGACTCGGCCATCTGATTCCCTGGCGTTGGCACTAGACGACACGTTCGCCTGTGCGATCCCAAGTTTGGTCAAAGAAATTCTCCACTCGGGGAGACCCTCGAAGCAAATTGTAATTTTGAACTTTTTAACTTCAGATGAAGGTATGCATTGGCCAATGCATAGACACAGCCAAGCAGTCATCGACATATTTGTTGATATCAATTGATTCGGCATTTTGCCAAGTACCCTGCCCCTCCCCCACGATTATTTGAAACGGTCATTTTCAATATGGATCTGGAAAGCTCCAGGGTCTATGTGCTATAGTGTACTACCATGCCCCTAAGAATCTTTTTATAGCTGGCATTCCATTCCTAAATACGGAAGATCTTTGGTCCTTCGTTCGCCCTAGGTTCGACGTAACCACAACTGAGCATTTTTAGCAGGCCGTCAGCCCAAATAGGGGTTTGAAGAGAATAATACTGTGGGCTAACCCCGTTCTAAGGTCAGCGAATTTTGTGACCGAGCCATCTTAGGCGACGAATTTTTCTAGCAAGCGGACAGTCCGATGGCTGATGGATATCGACATCTGAGACAAGGTTCGCAAGTCGAGGCCGCAATAGTTTTTAGGAAGCGCCAATTATCGCACAGCTCTTTTGGTATCAGGTCAAGGAGGGTTAGATGACGCGGAACAAGGCTTTTAACTGCAGCTACATACACTCGGGTCTGTGCTTTCTGCTGAGCATAGCTACGAGTTTCGGAGTAAACTGATGTTGTTTCAGGTAGACTGTATGCGGCAGATTACTATTTTATGATATTGGCCACCAAGGGACACAAAAAATCGAGGTAGATGAGATATTCGACTGCATCGAGCCCCTGACGATCCAAGAGGATAATACATTTCTCAGTGTGAAGCCATCTAATTGTAATCGGATTTTGTTTGAAATCAGATTGAGGTAGAATTTTCAGGAGAAGACTCCAAAGTAAGGAATAAATAACGTTCTCTTGAAGGAGTTCTCAAGCGGGACGATATCTTCCGCATATTCGGGGTTCAAGATGAGAAGTGCCGTACTGGGAGCCTGTAATCGTGGCATCCCAATTTACTGTATAAATTAAAGGGGACGATGAGGTGCATGGCTTTGTCGCATAATTTTTTACCACATTGAGCTCAAGCGTTTATTGGTGGGAGTTAATCGCGCTCTTGGTTCAAAATCGTCAGCCGTAGGACGTCAGATGGTCCAGCAATCATCACGCCCACGTCCACCACGGGTGTGGGCAATTCAGCAGGTCACGACCCGCACACCAACCATCAGCCAGTTAGAGCATAGTCAAACAACTATTCTCGATACGGGGAAGCTGTTAATTGTCATAGTTATGCAATAGAATAACGACTATATCCCATAAATAGTGCAACTGCCTGTCTCTGCTATTGTCTTTGATGATGCATTCGAGAAGGATTTCGAAACGTCAGGCGAAGAAAATTCTTATCCCAGCAATAATCTCCGCTTTTTCTCAGTTACTTCCTGGGACTTTCTTTCTCACTTGCATTACAATCAGCGTGTTGCTAGGGGGCAACCGTGTTCTAGGAGCACCGTAGTTATTGCGCTTGTTGTACTCTTATCCCTAGATGTTTGCGGTGAGTGTTGCTTACGCTAAGCAATGTCTTGGTCCCAAACTCACACATCGCTTCTCTCACCTGCTTCGTGGAACGCACCTGTTATGTGTGTTAAATGTCCCCATATAATTGCGCAATTAAAGGCCTTCTTTGCAGTTAGCGTCATTAAATTCACATCTGCTTACGTTGATGTGAGGCGATAGGTGTCGTCATTATCCTCCGCGGTCAGAATGCACTCAAAGTAGTCCACTTTCTCCCGATCCAGGTGAGCCACCGTAGTCACCTTTCCAGAGGTCTCGTCCACCGCAAATGCTGTGAGCTCGGGGCCTTCAGTGGCCTCCTGGACAAACTCCGATGGCCGGCCCTCACTCCTCATTGGCAGCCCGTGCAACTTGAAGGGTCTACACTGTTTCAGTCTAATCATATGATTACTATTATTGTCCGCGCTTGGCGTTGAGGGCTGATCGCGATCCAGGGTGCTGAGTTGCATGAAGGCGGAGTCGTGGGGAAGGTTCTCAGGTAGTTGGATCACCGCCAGAGCCTGCGGCCAGGAGTGATTACGTTGCAGCCGCCCGATGATGATATGTGGTGGAAGAAACTCGGGTGGATGATCATTGACATTGCGAATGAGGACTCTCACCGTACAGGAGCCCGTCAGCGTAACGTTGTCCACACCTGTATTTGTGGCTATCACCTGATGAGGGCAACAAAAAATATGGATAGCTTTAGGCCAAAAATAAGCCCCTAAAGTTGGTTCATTATTTTGCCGCATTTTTATTTTGGCGAGTGGAAGGGTTGACAGCGCAATATGTGGGCAGAATAACGCCCTTCTAAGGAAATGGGACCATTTTTATCCGAACTTAGTACTCATAAAAATGGAAGCAGACAAGTAAATGTTGACCATTACTGATTGTTCTCCCAAGGCTTGTGTACAACAAACACCTCCAAATCAGAGGTAGACGAAGAAACACGAGATGGAGGTTCTAAGCGTCAAAAAATTCTGATTCTGCAACAACCTATCGGATATTTCAAAAGTCAATTGATATAGCGTTTTCGTTAAAAATGTAGGCGTTCAGTACTTGCTTGTAGAAAGTGTTCGCATGAGGTTCGTGTTCAAACGTGTATTTTAAAGCTGGCGAATGTTTTTTTAGCTTGGTAAAAAAGTCAACGATGTTGTCTTTTTATTTAACTTGGCTACCTCTCGGGTGGATTGATAAAACTTCCGATGACATTTCCTACCATTTTTTATAAACTGTGATTGTTTATAAATGCATTCACTTTTTCCAGTCATTTTTATAACCCGCAGGACCCTATGATATATTCAAGTGCACAGGACACGGTTCGGATAGTGCCGTTTACTTTCTTAAATCACTCTTCATCAGTGCCTTCTGAAAATTGATCGAGTAATGAGGAACTTGCACATCCAATCTGCCAGTTTTATGTTTTACGTCTAAAGTATTGAATACTTGTTTTTGAACAGATAGTTTATTCTTCTGTATTACGGACATTGACGTTTCCAGTTCATTTTCAAAACTAGTACTTTATGGAGGCGCGAGTGTTCATAAAAGACGTGCGATCTACCGCTCTATACTAAAAATTTTATTCAGTTACTTTAGTTCTAACACTTCGGAGTTCATATCCTTGGTTTTTATACCAATTCTAACCACAAGATTTTGTCAATATCTGTGTGACTTACGGTAGCATTTTTAGTAAAGTATGGTCCATTGTTTGGGTGTGTTAGGTCATATCCTTGTTTCCTCTCAACCTGAATACGATTTTTGATTTTATTTGACTCGCTCGAAAGTTTATGTCTATCTATGCACTTTTACACTAGTATATTTTAAGAGTTGCGATACCATAGATCGCGAGAATGTGTTTCTCGTGACAAGCATTTCATAAGCTTACGTCCCTTTATTTTATTTGATGTCACAAAATATTTTCTTTCAATTGGATTGTCAAACAAGAGTTGATTTATTCCTTAGAAGAGTTTGCGTGAAGCGAGTTATGTTTGTCTTGAATGTCCCTTTTTGTAAAATTGAGGCAAAAGACTTTTCCATGAAGTGTTGTTTAAAAATATGTTATTCTGAAGCCAGTTTTGCAATAAATCAAAATGCAAACTGGTCGCTTTGAAAGAAATTAAAACGGTGCTAGTTGTTTGCGAGTGGAGGAATATTAAGCGCATGAAATCGGACTTTTTCTTGCCTATCTAGAAAAAAGAACGCCCTTCTTTTAATTACTTTTCTGTTGACATGTCTTATACTCAGGTAATTTTTGGAGTCCGATTTTTATTCGAACAGAGTGTAAAAGATCATGATTATTGACAATCGGGATATCTGTAGGCATATCTTAATATTTTTCAACGTTATTTTTTGTGTTTTTGCTAGTTAAAATGATTTTACTGATGGCATCAGTTTTCTGATAAGCACCAAATAACCGAGTTATATTATAGGAATTAGTTTCCTATAAAATTGGAGATCGTTCGGTTTCGCGCTGGCTTAAAGTTAATGTACTTTTGTAATATACGTATTTAAACGTTTAAAAAACAAAAGCTTAACGTGCTGTGTTTTAGAAAAATACTCTGACTTTGGACTACTGTTGATAAAAAGATTACTGAAAGCCGTTTACTTGCCATGGATTTCTGAACCTCCTGCAGTATTTGCAATTTTTGCATCCTAAAGGCACAAAAAGCAGAAATATACGAATTTTACTCATTGAAGCGTCCTTTAATTTGGATCTGCATTTGTTCGGTTACATCAGACTTAATACGAAGTCTGGACTTTCAACTAGTTCTCAGTTGAAAAAGCTCATGAAATATTTCATTATATAAATCATTTTAAGACAAACCAAATGCGTAACTACTTAACATTTTGCAATAACTTATAATATTTTTTCCCTGCCGAGCTAGGGATCAAAGGAATAGCAATGTTGTGAGGTGTTATAGGATTTAGGACTTGTGAAAACAAGAGAGGGTGGGGGAGAACAACGATTTAGCGTGCAAGTCACATTCCGTTGAACAGTTCAGCCCTTTAAACAGAAATGCCTCCCTCACCAAACAGTGGTGACTTTTGATTTATTGTTTCATAGTGTCGTAAAGACTACTTTTTATAAGGAGAAACAAACAAAGTACATGGGCAAGTTTGGTTCGATAAACATTTCAAGCAACTGCAAAATAGTACCTAGGGATTTTCAACTAAACGACTTTGAATTGTGTTCCGATGTCCTACAACTGTCTTCGCGCAAAAGACATTCGATTTCAATGGGGTTTCGACCTCCAAATATCTGTTAGACTGCAAACTTTTACGACACATATTTGGCGTATACTTTTGCCGGAAAGAAACCTCTAAAGTTATTCTGCTCCACGCCGCAAAATCACCAAAAGAAGTTGGCCAAAAAGCTTGGCTGACATTCTTTTTCCCTGTAAGCATGAATCATCTGGTCTCAGAAAGGCAAAAATGTCACTGTGTAGGGCTACGATCAGCAACACAGCAATTCGGTTAGACAAAGCTTCGCATCGCGTGTACATCCAAAATACTAACAACCACCGGTAGGACTTAGGTTGCCATTTAAAAAATTGCTGCGTTCTTTCATATCATGAACAACTCGATAAACTCTGTTTGCTCCTCAGTGTAAATGTAGATCGTCTAGTAAAGAAATTGCATTAAAAGCTGGCCCATTGGAAGCCCCTAAAGTAAAAATTATTTGGATCCTCCCAATTTAGTAGTTCAAACTTCTTGAAAGGGACTGGAAAGTTCTCGAAGGTTTTAGTATTCAACTTCAGATTACTGGTATTGCAATATCAGAAAATGAATGATCTCCTTTATATATTTTCAAATAAACGGTTAATAGATCAAAGTGGCTGAATTGCTCTAGCAATGTACAAAGAAAGACCAACATCAGCGTAATAACTGATACTAGAAAAATTATCATAACTGAGTGGTTAAATAAAGTCTGCCTCACATCTTTGAGGTTTACAGTCCTAGGTAGTTAGTATTTTATTAACAGAAGTTAAAACAGACATAAAATCGATTTGAATGGAAAATATTCAAATCTGGATAATGCTTTGCCCGAGTTACCTTGTAATGTTATAGACGTGTCATTTATTTACTGCAATACAGTTAAAAGTGTAGTTAGTTTTTTAAATTACTCAAAACGTTTACGTAATTGAGCATATCCGAGTTATCATATACGTTTTCGGAAAGCATGTGCCCGAGGAAAATATTTCATAATTTGAGCATAGTAGAATGTGTGACCCCGGCTCTATCCCCAACTCATCTGAATTTAAACCACTTACATTTTAATTTGAGACCCTGGATTTTTGTCATGAATTGCGGAGGAAACTTTTTCCGAAAGAAACCAACTGCTTAGCTCGAAGGGGACTGGCATTCTACAGTCACACAAGTTTTACGGCTTCAAGCACCTCTTAGTACATAGTTTCTCATAGCCTTCTGCGTGATAAAGCATGATAAGTCATAATTCCAGTCCTCAAATAGTAACCTGTTATTTTTACTAATACAGTAGATTTAATTAATATCGGGGAAAATGAAGTTAAACATTGGAGCAAAAATACAAGATTAGGTAAAAGTTAAGAGAAAGGATATGGGTTTCATCGAATACCGGCTACCATATTGATAAAATTCAGTTTCTACTTGCTCAACTGCCCAATGATATTAAAATTCATCGTGGAGGTTTGAAGTTGATCCGAAGATCGCTTCACTGACCGCATAAAATTCGTCATTTGTCGGGAGACATGAGTACCTTTCTCACTATAAACTCCTGGGTCGGCTTTTAATCCCCCAGGATGTCCCAAAAATGCAAACTTGGCAGGCTGCTGACTGACTGACAGGGTAACTCGGTCTGTACTGCGTGTAGGGTGAATAACTAGAGGACTATGCGTTAGACGCAAAAGCTCATTTTAATGCGGGCCTCGCCTGCACTTCTATGCTTGTGGGCTTTGTGCAGGCTCCTGACATTACCTTGACATGGGAGCAAGGCGAGTTAAGTTTTAGAGAGCATGGTAGATGCCACGCAGGCCGACTCAGTTCAAAAGAGTCGCTGTTTATACGTTCATTTCGTGGGAAACAAGATCAATGTCGTCACGGGCGATGGATTAAGTGTCAACGATCGAGATTTCATCTCCAGCCCCCGCGATTGACCTGGTAATCTGATTGATTCTGTCTCCTATGATGGTTTCGAAAGCCAATCCGGCAATTTCAAATGATCACAATACCTCTACATATGATTAATTTACCTTCTTTTGACCTTTACCTAAGGCTTTGCCTGAAATACGTCATTCAAATCTATTCTGTTTCGTTTCGTTTGACCGATCATCTCCACTATTCTACTGGACTTTTGCTCTCTTCTGCACCCCTGTCAAATATATTTATGATTTGAGGACACTTTAGCGTCAAGACAGGGACTTCCAAGAAGGCCTTTTCTGGCTTATTACCCGTCGTCAGCTGGAGGTATCCAACTCCAGTGTAGTAGCGGAAATTGCCGCCACA